CAAAAAGGCTTTAATGTTCAAAGTCATGTCAGACAGAGAAATATCTTTAATGCAATTTCTGTTGAGTTTTGGATAAAAAACATGTCAGGAAGTTGTTAAGCATTTTTAATGACCAAAGTGAGTGAACAGTTACAAAGAATCAAGTGTCAATACTACTTCAAGGTTATGTTAAATATACTTTTCCTTGGGCAAATTTTAATTAATTTCTTTTTTTTTCATTTACTCATATGTGCATACAATGTTTGGGTTATTTCTCCCCCCTACCCCCTGCTCCCTCCCTCTACCCTCTACCCCCTCACTTCCAGGCAGAAACTGTTCTGCCCTTATCTCTAATTTTGTTGAAGAGAGAGTATAAACAATAAGAAGAAGGACAAAGCATTTTTGCTAGTTGAGATAAGGATAGCTACACAGGGAGTTGACTCGCATTGCTTTCATGTACATATGTGTTACATTCTAAGTTGATTCTTCTCGAACTGACCTTTTCTCTAGTTCCTGGTCTCCTTCTTCTATTGGCCTCTGTCACTTTAAAGTTTCTGCATTAGTTCCTTTGCATTGAGGGCATCAAATACTATCATGTTTTTTGGGTTTCTTACCTATCCTCATACCTCCCTTGTGTGCTCTCGCTTTATCATGTGATCAAAGTCCAATCCCCTTGCTGTATTTGCCCTTGATCTAAATTCCACATATGAGGGAGAAAAAACAATTATTGGTCTTGTGAGCCTAGCTAACCTCACTCAGGATGATGTTCTCCAGTTCCATCCATTTACTTGCAAATGATAACATTTCATTCTTCTTCGTGGCTGAGTAGAATTCCATTGTGTATAAATACCACATTTTCTTAATCCATTCGTCAGTAGTGGGGCATCTTGGCTATTTCCATAACTTGACTATTGTGAATAGTGCTGCAATAAACATGGGTGTGCAGGTGCCTCTGGAGTAACCTGTGTCACAATCCTTTGTGTATATCCCCAAGAGTGGTATTGCTGGATCATATGGCAGATCTATGTTTAGATTTTTAAGAAGCCTCCAAATTTTTTTCCAGAGTGGTTGTACTAGTTTGCATTCCCACCAGCAGTGTAAGGAGGGTTCCTTTTTCCCCACATCCTTGCCAACACCTGTTGTTGTTGGTGTTTCTAATGATGGCTATTCTAACAGGGGTGTGTCTAAAGGACTCAGGAGCCAGCTTGAGAAGACTCCAACACACCAAAGATGAGACAGGATAAGTTTTAATACTGTCAAATGCAGTGTATTGAAACCCAGCAAGTATATTTTAATCTCTGAACTCATAATGGTATTTTTAAAAAGGCTTCTCACTTTCAGAGCACAAGTAAAGGAAAAAAAAAAAACCAAGTACTTTCTCTACCTTCCCCTGAACTAGCCCAACATGTAACCAAGTAGTAGAGGGTAGGTAGTGTCTCTTTGGAAAACTCTTACAACCAGTAAATCCTCAGGATGGTTGGTTTTGATCAAGTGCATTTCTTGATTTCTTGGGTGTGTTTGTGGGTGTTTCCAGAGAAGTCTGGCAAGTCGGTCAGTGAACTGAGTGGAGAAGACCTCCCTCAGAGTGTGAGGGTCCTATTCCATTGTCTGGTTGGAATAGGAAACAGGAAGAAAGGTTAAACTTGCTGGTTCTTGCTGTATCTTCTTTCCAGATCAGGCATGTTTTCTGTTGCTGCCACTGCCACTCTTGGACATCAGATTATAGATTCATTATCCTTTGCACTCTGGGACTTGCACCAGTGGCCCTTTGAGGTGGAAGGGACCTCTTGGGCCTTCAGACTTGGACTAGAGCTGCATCATCAGTCTCTCTCATGCTGAGGCTTTCAACTTTCTAGACTGAGTTGCTATGTGCTTCCCTGGCTCTCCAGCTTCAAATGGCCAATATGGAACTTTTCAGACTCTGTGATGGTGTGGGCTAATCTAAAAAAATCTAACAAATCCCTATAAAATATATACATGTTTAACTCTCAATAGAATGTTTCTCTAAAGTACCCCGAATAATGCAATGCATGAGAAATTTTGGAACTGGTATATCATGTTTTTTGCAACTCACAAAGAATGGCAGTCATAAAGCATCAATGACTGATAAGATCACAAAAGGGAGGAAACCAGAAATAACATGCTGGCCATAGCCAAGCACAGCCCAGATTCTCACCAAAGAAGTTGAAACAAGTTCTAATCCAATCTCTGGACCAGCTGTCAATTGGCAGGAAATACAAAGAACAACTTGGTGAACCAAAACATGAAGTTATACAATCAGCAAAATTTGGACTGTGAGAAACCCTGCTAGTTATTGGCCCTTGTTCTTCAACACATAAGTTATGAAGAAAAGAAAGAAGAAAGAATCTACAAATTGAAAGATACCCAAGGATAACAAACTTTTAAGAAACTGTGAAGAATGTCTCTTTATATTCTTCTAGCACAAGGCATTGGTGTCAAAAGGTCTGATGATAATCTAATTTCGTATCTCTTAGAGTAACAGATTCTTTTTTTCTAGATGCTTAAATAAAAATTTTTCTTTTTCACTAAGATGTAGTATATTTACCAGAATTAACCTTGGTGTTGATCACAGGACTTCAATCATGGGTTATACAGGGTGCTCTTTCATATGAAATTTCTATTTTTTTTCTGAAAAGTTGTTTTGAATTACAGTTCTAGTGTAAGCTTGCATCCTTGCTTTGGTTTTCTTCTTTACGACTCTGATTTTTCATCACTGTTCTTTGTTCATCTTCAATATTTGCCATTTTTCTCTCAAGTCATTTTTGATCTTTTTAATTTTATTTTTTACCTTGTATTTACTTTTCCATCTGTTACTTATTTATTTTGGTGGTTTTTGTCTAATTTGTTGTTCATTTCTGAAATTATTTTTTGCCATTATTGCTAATTCTATCCTGGATTTCATCACCACATTTCTGAGTTTTTTTAATTCTGATTTGAATTTTCTTTCATGTATCATATCATTTTCTTAAAGCTTTTAATTTGTTTTCAAGTACTTTAATTCTATTTGGTGGGTACATCTTTATGATACATTTTCTGTTTTATTTTTACTTATTTTTATTACTGTTGAACTGGAGGTACACTGTGACATTTACAAAAGTTCTTACCATACATCATAGTTGAGTTCACCCCCTCCATCATTCTCCTTTATGCCTCTTCACCCCCCATTCCAGGAATAGTTTCAATAGGTCTCATTACCATTTTCATACATTAGTGCATAACATTTTATCATCAAGGGTATTACCCTACACCTTATTTTCTTTCTTCTGATTTCATATGGTCTTTGAGCTTGAACCTTCCCTGTGGCTCTTTTTCACGTGGAATTAGTTTTTCTAAACTTTTAGAATAAGAAAGGATTCAGAAAGATCTTCCTAACTCCCAATTTACCCTCTTCTGTCATTTTTGTGGATGTTAAAAAACAGGGCAGTTTGCTTCCTGCCCTTTAATGCCTCTGTTACCCTCCATCCTTAGACTTAGATCATACCATTCCTTCATCATTGTCATGTCCATCCTGCTCCACATTTTTTTCACTCCTAACAATTTCTCCTAAGATTGGCTCCCCATCCTGGATGAGATCCCTAGTGACTCATCCTGGAGAGGGCCTAAGGATGAGAATGCTCCAGTTCCTCCAGTCCTAACCACTGCTCTGCTTGTACCTGTTTTTGGGCCAGCAAGAATCTTCACCACCTCAGCTGCTGTTCTCAAACTGGTCCTCTGTGCTCCTTGGGGTTTCTCTAGTTCTCAGATCTTTCAGATGCAGCCTGGTTGCTTCTTTTTTTTTTTTTCCTGTACAGTTCTGCTAGAGAGTCTGTGAATTATCCCTGCCCAGTGGTGTTTTGAGGTTTGTGATAATATCTTAGCACCCAGTTTGATTGGAAATGGTGTTCATACTCCCTAGTTGCTCAGTCTGTTTTTATTGAATATTTTGAAAAAATAAAAACCTATGTGGCCATTATCACCTTCATATTTCTAGAATTCTTCTCTTGTTTTTGAATATTCTTTCACAGTATCACTTGTAATGGTTTCACATGATCACATTTTATGGAAGGACCAACTATTCTAAATGGGTCCCTTTTGTTGGACACTTAGCTATGTCAAATTCTTGTATGTCATATACAGCAAGATGGTAAACCTTGCAGCTAAATCACAAGTGCTTTTGCTGGGAGAGCACTCAGAGACTCTATCTCCCTCAGGAAAGGACCCCAGTCCTCCCTTATACTTCATCAGGTCCCTGCCACTACCCTCCATGCAGGAGTACTTTGCCCCACATCCTGTAACATCAGATTTGGTGGTCTACTCAGAGACCACCAAGACTGATCTCAATGTCTCACACAAACATATACCTCAGTCAAGGACAGGATTTCAAGCCTCTCCACTCTGGAGTTCTTTTACTACCCTGCTCAGTACATTCTCTAACTGAACACCAAAACTTCTGTCTAAACTCCTTCCACTCTGCCCTCTGCAGCTTCTGGTCTGTGACCAGGAAATCCTCTACAAGGTTTCCATGTACTTGGTGGTGAAACTACACTTCTCAGAATTCCCTTTACTATAAATTCCAAGTTAAGGAATGCTACAAGAGCTACTCTTGGGCATAGTTTGGGATATAGAAGTGAAGCCAATGTCACTGATGCCCCATACTTGTCCTTGTAATCACTGCTCTTCCCAAACTGGACTATCCTGCACTCATCCAAAATAGCAATACAGATACATCATGCAGCTCCCGTGGCCTCATGTCACTCGTGTGGCTTGAGGTGTGCACAGTGCAGTTAACTGCTTCCAATTCTGCTTCCCATGTTCATGCTGGAATTTTGATTACTTCATTTGGAAACAGATCCACAAAGAGGATTTCTCCCAAACATGCAAGGGCTGGCCAAAACATGCCAGTAGCTATCACTATGGTGCATGTCCATTGGTCAGTGGTCTCTGTCATAGTCATTGTTGTGACTGTTGCTAAGGCCCTGTCATCTCCCAGTTCAGGGAGAGTTTGAGAAAGCAAGATTTACCTCCAGAGAATGCAGAGGATTAAAAAACAAGCACCAGATGTCAGATATCTGCAAATTTTCACAGCAAGGGTCCATTTTCGCTCATCTCTAAATTGCTTTAAACAGTTTACTAAACATTAGCATCCAATTTTCAATATTACAAATATAAGGCATGGATTTTTTAAAAGTTACTTTGACTTGAAGAAGGAAAATCATATACAACTCAACTCCATGAAATAACCACTATCAACATTTGGCATTTATCTTTCTGGTCTTTTATCAATATATAATATACCTCATGCTCCTTTTAAAAAATGAATTAAATTATATATAATATTTTATCTTAAAAATAAGGCATAGATTTTTTTCTATATCATGAAAAATTCATCAACAGCATCTTCATTTTTGCTTTATATTGATGGGGGTTCTGGGGGTCAAACTCAAGGCTTTGCATTTGCTAGGCAGGTGCTCTACTACTTGACTTAGACTTTTTGAAGCTTTTATAGAATTAAAAGCAACATTATGATCACACTTTATATTAAGCTTTCACACATATAAATGTGTGTTGTGCCTAGGGTTACTGGGTCAAGAGATACAAAATGTTAAGGCTTTTAAAGCAAATTTTCTGATTTCCAATAACCAAGACAACTTCCAGCTCTTTCCTAAAAACTTGTACTATAATTAATTAGGCTGGTTTTCATCCCACTACCTGCCATGTATCAAGAAATGTTTGTTTCAGGAAGTAAAATTATATGTAGCCTTTCTTCACCATGAGATAATCCAGGATTATGAAAGTGAAATGCTATTATTAGTGTCTCACATTCCCTTTGTCACTAATCCTATTCTGCCCCTTTCACATTGTAAGGGTTGGGTCTCCCAGGCCTGCCTTTCCCCCACTGTGCATTGAATTCCAGTATTTAGCCTTGAAATCCTTTTTTTTAAATTTATTTTTTATTATTCATATGTGCATGCAATGCTTGGGTCATTTGTCCCCCCTGCCCCCACCCCCTCCCTTACCACCTACCCCACCCCCCTCTCTCTCCCTCCCACCCCCTCAATACCCAGCAGAAACTATTTTGCCCTTATCTCTAATTTTGTTGAAGAGAGAGTATAAGCAATAATATAGCCTTGACATCCTTATAACTTAGTTAAATATACCTCAGAAAGAGATATGTTTTCCCATATCCCTGGGAAAACAGAGTCTGCTTTGCATAATAGAGCTGTTCTTACAAATGTAATTGGACTTCAGATTGCTTTGCTATGAAAGTAAATTTGTTTATTACAAAGTCTATAATTCTGATTGTCTTTTAAAAACAAGCATTGAAATTTGATCTTGCATATCAGAAGTTACTAAGTACACCAAAGTAGTACTTAGAAAGAAATTTATATCTTAAATGCTGTTAGAAAGTAAGTCAGTGGTGGTTCATTTTCAAGGCAAGGCATTTAACTCTACCAGCTTGTTTGTATACCAGCCTGCAGATGTTGGGGGAGGGGCAACTGATATCAAATTTAAACTGGGAGGGGTAAATCACATAGATTAAAAAAAACTGTGTATGTTCCAGAAGGTACATAGTACAGGGAGACCTTCCTGCCACAGTAAGAGGCGAATCTCACTTGTAAAATTTGACCAATCCCAAGAGAAGTATATTTTAAAATAACCCAATAGGTATTAAGTGACAGCTGGGGAAAATAATATAAACTCCATAGTACACAGCCAATGAGGAACCAGGAAGGGACCTGCATGCTAGCAATAAATGCTTATTGTAACTGTTCTGATGTGTGTGGCTTACTAGACACCCAATCATGCAAGATTGTAATTAAAGTCTAGCTTCTACTGTACTTCACATATCTCTGAATGAAACAGCAGGACAACCACTCTTCATCAAAAGCCAATTCTACCACTAAGGATCCAAACACCTACATAGAAGAGCTATCAAATAATGAATTCCAAGAAACAATAGTAAAAATGATTAACGACCTCAAAATAGACATACAAAAGTTAGTACTTTACTTCAAAGAGGACATAAATAAACAATTAAATGACCTCAAAGTGAATACAAATAAACAGATGAATAAAATTAAGAACACTATTCAGGATATGAAAGAGGAAATCAGTAAACATATGGAAACCCTGAAAAAAAGAATCAACCCAAAATAAACAACTCAATATCCCAAACAAACATCACAATCGAAAGGTTGGTGAACACAGTGGAGCAAGTTGAAAATAGAGTATCAGGAACAGAAGACAAAGTAGAGGAATTAGACCAAACGGTAAAAAATCATGAAAGAATGCTAAGAAAACATGAACTGGAACATGCAAATATCTGAGACAGCATGAAAAGACCAAACTTACTAGTCATGGGTGTAGAAGAAGGAGAGGAGATACAAACTAAAGGCATTGACAACCTATTCAATAGAATAATAGCAGAAAACTTACCTAACCTCTAAGAAAGAGAGTGTCACCCAGGTTCAGGAAGTTTACAGAGCACCAAACCATCAGGATCAAAAAAGAAACACTCCCAAACACATCATAATCAAAACAGCACACAGAACAGAGAAAGACTCTTGAAAGCTGCTAAAAAGCAAAAACAAGTCACAAATAAAGGCAAACCCATTAGAATAACAAGATTTTTCAACTCAAACTCTAAACACAAGAAGGTCATGGAAAGACATAATTCAGGCCCTGAAAGAAAATAACTGTCAACCTAGACTAATCTACCCAGCAAAACTACCCTTCCTAATTAAAGGAGAAACTAAAACTTTCCACAGCAAGGAAAAACTAAAGGAATTTGTGATCAAGCCAGCACTACAGAAGATACTTAAAGGACTTTTACATATAGAACAAGAAACTAGAGTGAGTGATACAGGAAGATTCAAGAAAAAAAAAACTCTTTTGATCATGCAGAGCAGTAAACAAGGAATAGGTAAAACTAAACAACAGGGGAACAAAAATGACTGGAAACAACAGGCACCTCTCAATATTAGCACTGAATATAAATGGACTCAATGCCCCAAAAGACATAAAAGAGCATATTGAATTAAAAAACAGGACCCAACCATATGTTGCTTATAAGAGACTCATCTCACTGATAAAAAAATAAACAGTGACTTAGAGTCAAAGGATGGAAAAAAGTTTTCCAAGCAAAAGGACCCCATAAACAAGCAGGAGTAGCTATTTTCATATCTGACAAACTAGACTTCAGACTAAAATCAGTCAGCAGAGACAATGAAGGTCACTTCATATTAATGAAAGGAACAATTCATCAAGAGGAAATATCAATCCTTAACATATATGCACCAAACACAGGGGCACCCATCTACATTAAAAAAAAAAATCTCTAATGGCCTAAGAGCACAGATAGACACTAACACAGTGATAGTGGGAGACCTGAATACCCTACTGTCACCAATAGATAGGTCGTCCAGACAAAAGATCAACAAAGAAACTTCAGAGCTACCCCATGCATTGGACCAAACAGACTTGGTCGGTATCTACAGAATATTTCACCCAACACCTAGGTAATACACATTCTTTTCTGCAGCTCATGGAACTTTCTCCAAAATATATCATATTTTAGGACAAAAAGCAAGTCTCAAAAAATTCAAGAAAATTGAAATAACCCCTTGTATCATATCAGATCACAATGGAAAAAAACTAGACCTCAACAACAAAAGAAATCCCAGAAAATATTCAAACTCTTGGAGACTGAACAACACACTGCTGAAAAACCAATGGGTGATCAAAGTAATAAGGGAAGGAAGAAATAAAAAAGTTCCTAGAATCCAATGAAAATAAAAATACAACCTACCAGAATCTGTGTGACACAATGAAGGCCATGCTAAGAGGAAAGTTTGTAGCTATAAATGCCTATATTAAAAAAACAGAAATCTCTCAAATAAGCAATCCAATGATGCACATTAAGCTCCTAGAAAGACAAGAACAAACCAAACCCAAACCAGCAGATGGGGAGAAATAACAAAGATCAGGCCGAGATAAATGAAATCAAAACCAAACAAACTATACAAAGAATCAATGAAACAATAAGTTGGTTCTTTGAAAAGATTAACAAGATCAACAAACCCTTAGCCAACATGACAAAACAGAGGAGAGAGAAGACCCAAATTAATAAAATCAGAGATGAAAAAGGGATATAACCACAAATACCAATGAAATTCAGAAAACAATTAGAGAGTACTTTGAAAACTTATATTCAAGTAAACTGGAAAATCTAGATGAAATAGATAAATTCCTAGATGCATACAACCAACCAAAATTGAACCAAGAAGATATTAACCACCTAAGTAATCCTATTTCATGCAATGAAACTGAAACAGTAATAAAGAGTCTCCCTACAAAGAAGAGCCCAGGACCTGATGGATTCACAGCCAAGTTTTACTAAAACTTTAAAGAACTAACACCAATTCCCCTCAAACTTTTCCAGGAAATAGAAAGGGAAGGAACACTACCAAATTCATTCTATGGAGCCAGCATCACACTTATTCTGAAACCCAATGAAGATGTAACTAGAAAAGAGAATGATAGACCAGTATCTTTAATGAATACAGGTGTAATGATTCTCAACAAAATACTGGCAAACAGAATTCAACAACACATCAAAAAGATCATACACCATGACCAAGTCAGTTTCATTCCAGGGATGCAAGAATGGTTCAACATAGTACGTCCATAAATGTCATACAGTATATAAACAGAAGCAAGTACAAAAACCACATGATCCTCTCAATAGATGCAGAAAAAGCTTTTGACAAAATCTAACACCCTTTCATAATAAAAGCTCTGAAGAAACTAGGAATAGAAGGAACGTTCCTCAACCTAACAAAGGCTATATATGACAAATCTAGAGCCAACATCATTCTAAATGCAGAACAACTGAAACCATTCCCCTTAAAGTCAGGAACGAGACAAGGCTGTCTGCTTTCTTCACTCCTATTCAATACAGTTTTGAAATTCCTAGCCAGAGCAATAAGAGCAAGAAATAAAAGGGATTCAGATAGGGAAGGAAGAAGTCAAACTATCCCTATTTCCAGATGAAATGATCCTATACCTTAGAGACCCCAAAAACTTGACCAAAAAA